CTTTCAACATGTATTTTCTACTTTTGTCACAGAAGGGGGTCAAACTGCAGGCAAATTCTGATTGGCCCACAGAAACATGCCGAAGAAAAAGGACCAGAGCTCAGGCAACCACGTCCAACCACTGCAGTGAGCGTGTCTCTCCTCTCAGGGTTTACATAGAGCCATCTAGGGAGGAGCTTTGATTTCTAGATTGTTAACTAAAAAAACCCCTGAAAACCAGACTTGCCACAAGATGGGAATTATAGCCCAAAGGAACCTTTTAAAAGATTGCAAATCATACATCCATGCATAAGCTCTCTCATGAAGCCTTTTAAACAGGCTTTCAGCCCAGGCTCAGACATAGCCAAGAATACCGTGGGCCAACTACGAAGGCAAAGGTACTGAGAAGTCCCTCCCAGTCACACTTTCCTTTATTTTATAGACAGCATTTTCTAAAGGAAGACACCACTAAGACTGACGGGTTGGACTCCATTACAACAAAAGATTCTTTTTTCTGGTTACTGGTCTTTGGAAAATTCAGTGGCCACACTAATCACACCAGCCATTGGAAATATCCAGTTCTAGTGAGAGACAAAAGCAAGATTACCTAACTTTAAAACGCTATGAAAATCAAACACCTATTCTTCTAAATTCAGACACGTCTCTTTCGGTGTAGCAAATGGTAAATCTCCTTTTAAAAGTGGCAAAAAGTCAGGAACGGTGATGCATGTTTGTAATGTAATTCCAGATCTTGGGAGATTGAGGGGCTCAGAAGGCTTCTCATGAGTTCTAGGCCAGCCTGAACTACATAGAAAGACTGTTTCAAAAAAAAAAAAAAAAAAAAAAGGCAGGGTTGGAGAGATGACTCAGCAGTTAAGAAGTTACAAGCACTGACTAGCTCTTGCAGAGGACCCAGGTTCTGTTCCGATCACTCCCCCTTGGAGGCTAACAACCATCCATAACTCCAGTTCTGGGAGATCTGATGCCCTCTTCTGGCCTCCATAGACAGGACACACATGGATGCACTTACACACATGCAGGCAATACACATGTACACATAAAATAAAAATAAAAATGGTTTTACAAAAAGACAAAAGTTAAATAAATAAGAGATTTTTTAGGTATGCCAGTAGTGGTATAATGTATTTGACCCAGTTTTACTTGTCATAGTGAAACAATACAGCCTTTCACTTAAGGAGAGTGGATAGGATACATTTTAAAGAAGTATACCATTAAACAAAAACTTCAAGTCAGTAAAGGACAATTACTGTTGTAATGTTACAGGAAAGGAAGTTAAAGTGGCTGAGTCTTGTTTTCTAGTCTGTAGTGCTCTGCTCTATTAACGGTATTTAATTGACTGTAGAACGACCATTTTACTGACCCCAGCTGTGTGCCCCTCACTACAGCCAAACCTTGCTTGTTAAAATTAGACACACTTGGAATCTGCAGGAGATCTGGAACAAAGGGTTTTCAATTGTAGGGAATGGGTGGAATTACTACACACTGACTCAGCCTTTTACCACAACAAGAGTTCCCACAAGATGCAAACCATAGTAGCCGATGCTGTGTATGTCAGATTGACCCTAAGATCTTTGCTAGAACACTCCCTTACAATCTTGCTGGGTCCTTAGAACCAGCACTATCTCCTATGACTCTGTCCCTTGTCAATCCCAATGCTCAACTCAGCACTCTCATACCAAGCATTTTCTAGTATTTACAAGAAAGAAAATCTAGCCTGAGGCATCTTATGGAGAGGGGCCCTGGCTTTCCAACAGTTGGATTTGCTTCCCAGGGCTGAGTCAGCTTTCTGTTGTTATGACAACTGAGATCATCACCTTTTGTCACAGGAAAAGCTTATTTTGGCTGTCAGTTGCAAATGTGGCAGTCCATGGTCAGGTGGCTCTGTTGTTTGGGGGCCTGTGGAGAGACCAAACATTTTGGTGGGGTGTTCATGGTGGAGCAAAGCTGGCCATAATCGTGGTCAGGAAGCAAAGAGAGAGGAGGGACCAGAGTCTTGTTATCTGGCTCAGGGCCACATTCCCAACCACCTGATTTCCCTTCAACTGGTCCCACACCCTGAAAGTTCTAGCACTTCTCAATAGTTCCGCAGGCAGATGGCCAAGCTTCTAATACACGGCTTTTGAAAAACATTCTAGTTCCAAACAACAACGCCAACCTTCCCTGTTTCCACGAGAAGATGGTCCTCCTCCCTGTCACAAACATACACAGCTGCCCGTGGTCTGTGAAGCTCCCTCTCAGAGGACAAGCACATTGACATTGACAGACTTTTCCAGGAAAACCTATTATCTCTCTACAAGCAATTCTCTTGGCAACAGAATTTCCTCAGTCTCAAATAAATAAATAGTGTATGAAGTGTTTATGGTCTGCAGTATATGGTCTAAAGTAGAGCCAGTCTAGAGGAAGCAGGAGTTTATTCCTTTGATGTGATGAAACGTAATAATCTGTGGTAAAGTGTCACAAGGGATGGAGAGTGTGGAGGGACACAGGACCTAAGGAACATACAGCTGAGAGCCAAGAAAGACCTCTGGGGAGGAAGTGCCTTATCTGGCCTTTGAAAGGGATGGTGTAAGCAGACCTGCAGAAATCAAAAGGGCAGGAGGTGTGTGCAAAAACAAGGAAGGGCTGAGGTGAGGAGGGGCCGGGTCTCCACCTTCAGGTGTGCAAAGTGTATGTAGAAAACCTGCCGCCAGAGAGGTCAGCTTGTGAGTCCATGAGAAGCAATATGAAGGGTTTCCTCTGACCGCAATGACAGTACGTTAAACCACATTGAAACTCTCTCACACCTTGTTGCTGCTGGATTTTTAAATTTAGTTCTAACAAATACATTCTATTTACCTTTAATAATGCGATTGTAATCAGAAAATTGCTGGAACACATCATTTGCTAAGCTTTAGTTCGAAGACTGTGCGTTTCAAACAAATAATTTCACCAATTAAATAAACATAATCCTCATCATTTTAACTGCTGTTTATACATTGCTGCTGCTTTCTATTTTCCAAACAGCCTTCATGGCTCTCTGTTTGAGAAAAGTCTTGCAGTATCTACGTTCTTCTGAGCACAAGTGTCTATATTAAGCACATCTTCAAAATATTCTTCATCCTTTCACTTCCCCTTTTTAAAGAATAATATAACAAACTTCCAGGACCCCAGAATGCCTTGGGTTCTGCCTCACTCTGCTTGAACTAGATGCTGAGGGTCAGTATACTCTGGACAATTTAATAATTACCTAGAGGTTCTCAGGTGACGAGATAAGGACAGAAAGACGGTGTACTCAGTATTTAAATAAACGATTCTAAGGTATAATTTCTCTTTATGTCCCATATAAACCAAGGGTATGACATGTATAAATACTAAATCTTAATGCAAAATAAATACGTATATCTGTGTTCACCTCATGGAAGTACCTTAAAATTTTTGATTATTACAAATGCCTATGAATATTTTGGGCTCAATTATTTTCCATGCGAACAATACATTGAACACATCAAGCTGTGGCCTCACATGGGAAACCGACCATGTCAAAAGATTTCTTTCCTTTTGTTTTATATTTTTATTAGTTCCTCAAGAATTTCATAGAATGTATTTTGATCATATTCACATCCCATCGCCTCTCAGATCCATGCTAACCTCCCCACCCCCCAACTTCATGTCTTTTTTTATCTCTTTTAAGTCCTTCAAGTCCATTCCACAAATGCTCTTGTGTGTGAGTCCATCCCCTGGCCTCACCCTACCGGGGGTCACACCCTTAAAGAAAACTGAATTTCCCTCTCTCAACAACAATCAATTGCCAGTAGCTATTCAGAGAGGGGTGGGGCTCTGTGCTCACTTTTGCCCTCCACACTAGGATTTTGTGTGGTGTGAGTTTGCTCGCATGTTGTACGTTCTGTCACAACTGCTGTGAGTCCATGTGTGCATCTGCCACGTTGAGTCCCTGCCATGTTGAGTCCCTGCCACGTTGAGTCCCTGCCATGTTGAGTCCAGAAAAGTTTCTATCCTTGTAGGTACCCACTGCCTTCGGCTCTTACATCTTTCCATCGACTCTTCCAAGTGATCAGCAAGGCTTGGGGGAAGGACATGACTTAGGTCACCCATTTAGTGCTGAGCACTCCACAAATTCTTATTGTCTGCACACTGACCTGGACCTGGTTGGTCTCTGTGTTACTCACCATATTCTGCCAAAAGAAACTTCTCCGATGAAGTTTGAGAGAAACACCAAGCTATGGGCCTGTTAAGTCACTAGGCCTTGGTTTAATACCATGTCCACTTAACAGAAAAATAGGAGTAGTCCCCTAGAATCTATCATCTATCTAGCCAAAGGTTCTTGGCCTCACTAAGCATACCAGGTATGGCTCCATCTTGTGGAGCAGGCCTTAAATCTGATCAAAATGGTTACTTTCATAAGAGTCACAGCATTGTGGGCATGTCTGGCCAGGCCAGTCATAGCTGTAGCTCCTGGACTTTCTTCCCTGCTGGCTGGCATTCATAGTGCTAGAAGGTGCTATGCATCTTACCCATAGTGCTTTTTTAAAAATAATAATAATAATAATAAACCACTAACTCAGTGTTTATCATAGTGAGAACATAACACTTTATTCAAGTCAAATTATAAGAAGTTTCTCTGACTGATAAGAAGCTAAGTTATGAGATATTTTTAAAGAAATTGTTTATAATTTTCACAATAAACGGAAGTGCATTTCACATTCCTCATTCAGTTACTGGCAATGCCTTAAAATAGCAAATGTCAGTGTGTGAGTGGTCTCCTCGGAGAGTGAAAGGGAGGCTGACTGACGGCACGCTTGTGTTGCACACTGGCTTTACACACCTACAGCTCAATGTTTGGATGGTTGTGTTTCTAGAATGACTAGCAGGAAATACAACAACTGACTACTAGGAACAAGCCCTTCCCATTCCATTCTTGCTTATCATGTTCATGTAGATGTATTTGTTAATTTACAAGCACAGTTAATTAAACATTTTTAAATTTTCTTTTTTTTTTAAAGGAGCCCGCTACATGAAAAGAATGCAAGTCAAAGTGCTCACAACCTAGAAGTCTTCAGAGACAGGAGTGACTAGCAAGTAGATACTGTTATCTTACTATACTTAAGTGTATAGGATTCAGTAGTGCTCTGGGAATTTGCCTCTATAATGATCAACTAGCCTTAGAGTTTTAAAGTGATACATAGCAGTATTTGTCTGCTATACCACAAAAATAACTAGAAAGAGCAATGGCCATCATGGGTTTCAGGAAACTCATTTTCTGTCAGTAATAATGAAATTATTTTGGTCGTAATTATGACTAAGTATTGTGTCCTCCCTGGCTCTTATTTTTGTATTACTAATTCAACACTGTTTCATAAAAAGAGCAAATGAATCTCCCTGTGTCTAGGGACATATTTAACCATTGTGCAAATGAACAAATTCTTCTAATAAACCATTTGCTGAGATTATTTGGCAATCATACTTTTAAGACATAGAGTGAAATTATGTTCACTTTTGAAGGTTAAATTTCAGAACTTCAAGCTGATATTAAATGAACTCCAAGCACAATGCAGTAACTGTCCATTTATCAAAACAAGCTGACATGTGGCAGAAATGAAATTGGAGTTTCAATGATAAAACCAAGCGGAGTGTTGATGAACAGATAAAGAACGAACGCAGCAAAGCAGGAAGGAGAAATAAGATTGTGTGAATGGCAGGAGTCATTTTTGAAAAGCTCATGGGTTCATGTTAAAGTGGTCAGAGCTGATTCGCCACATAGATCTTAAAGATAATAATATACTCAAATGTTGAAGCTAAAAGGATTTTAGAAAGTATATATATCAAATATTTCAAATATTTAACTTCATAAAGGAATGAAATTTGCAAATAAATGTATATGTTAATATTGTACATAAACACACATGTTATTTTAAAGATAAGAATTACTGAAGTAAATTCTTAAGAAGTTTTTTCCAGTATTAATCATGATTACAAACTATTTGCTAACTTAATCATAAAAGATACAGTATTCATAACAAATATTTTGGAAATTGTACATAAACGCTTTTATAATTAAAATCCTATAGTGACATTTCCATTAGAAAAATTATAGAAAACATGTATAATTGTTTTTGTTGCTTAACAATACAGATAGCTAGGGAATTATATATGCCACAAAGTGTCTTCCTTTTAAATATTCTTTGGGGGTTTTATTTTATTTTATTTTTTTAGGAGCATTTCATTACAGCTTTAACATACTCAATAACAATTTCCAGAGCAAAGATACATCTCTTTCAAAAGTGGCTATAAAATTTTTAGGTTCACAGTTGAATTAATATAGTTATACAATATTGAACTCAGTATAAACCCTGTAAGACATAAAATTGAATGAATTTTTAACCTTTAAAAAAGATCTCCATTTCCTTTTAAAATATACTGTTTCTTACAGAAAGACTCATTGTTTTTGCTAATAACACTTAGATGTTTGCACATGTGTCTTTAATCTGTATGTATCTGATTATTACTAGTCATAATCGGTTGCACTTGGATCCTTGGCACCTGTGTATGGATATAAACTCATCAGGTAGATTTCAATGGTAATGTTTATCACCTCTAATAATTAACATGACATAAATTTTTGTGCTTTCTCCTCAAATATAACTCATTTTTTAAATTTGTTGATTTTTTTGTGTGTATATCACACAGAACAACCCAAACCATCTTATTCATCTATACGCCCACTTCCCAGATAGCACCTCCCATAGCCTCCCTCCCCCGACTACAGCCCTTATACTCTGATATCCCTGCTACTGTCTGCTGTGTTGTCATCGCCCTAGCCTTTCCCCAGTACTTGTCCATCTGGTGAATCTAGTCAGCCTATCTAGAGGTCTTTGTATTAGGAAGGTCAGCTGTTCCTCATCTAGCAGCAATCAGGTGTCAATATTCCTTTAGATAAGATTGGGGTCTGCTGCTCATTTTCCCAGTTCTATGCTGGGTTACTATCTGGGAGTCCCTTTGGCCACCCTGGCCAACAACTCAAAAGAAGGTATCTCCTATCTGGCATTGTTGCTTCTTATATAGCCTTTAGCTATGCATATGGACTCTTCAAAAATTATATTGGCCCCTTTAATCTTTGGTTATACTTTCCTTTGGGTGTTTAGGATAAGAATTGGCCCAGATAAACCAATTTATTTTTACTCTTAAGGTCGTTTGAGGATCTGTTCCTCAGGGGGTCACATGGGCTTGGGAGGATCCCCTGGCTCCTTTCTTTTACCAGTTCCGCCTATGTGAAGATAAGTCAAAGGTCCTATTTGACCATGGCTGGCAAGCATGAAGGAAACGTTCCCTCTGTATTGACCCTCCTCTTTGTAGACTGGATACTGGTTCAAGTCCATCTGGTGGGGTCTCCACAGGCTCCTTGATCAAGAGGACAGGTGACTCACCACAGTTACAGGACATTTTGAGAGGTGCTCATAGTCCCCTGGAACTTAGTGGACCTTGGAGGGCAAGGAGCAAAAACTGTCCTTTAAGTCCCTCTGACCAGATTAGTATAGGCCTCAAAGTATGTCTGTTAAACATCCAAGAAGGTTAGTTGCACCAGTCTGGTACTTTTAATTACCATGTGCAGAGGTTTAACATCCAGAATATATAATGAACTCAAAAAACAAAGTATCGAGAAAGGAAGTAACCCAATTAAGAGATGGACTAAGGAGCTGAACAGAGAGTTCTCAGAAGAAGAAATAAAGATGACTAAGAAGCATCTTAAAAGATGTTCAACATCACTAGTAATTAAGGAAATGCAAATTAAAACCACCTTAAGATTTCATCTTACCCCAATCAGACTGGCTAAGATCAAGAGAACAAATGATGCCACATGTTGGAGAGGATGTGGAGAAAGGGGAACACTCATCCACTGCTGGTGGGGCTACAAACTTGTTCAATTCCTATGGAAAGCAGTGTGGAGAACTCTGAAAAAACTACAAATGAACCTACCATTTGACCCACTAATACCACTCCTTGGCATATACCCAAAGAATTCATCCTATTGGAGGTTTTATTTTAACAGTTGATATATAAACTCCCATCAAGTATTTATGTAGCTGAAACCACACAATTTGATATGAAGAAGAATTAGCCATAACTAGGTGATGATATAATTTGCAGTGTGAATTATTTTCCCTCAATGCATTTGACTTATACATTTAGACAGTTTATGTTAGGTTGGCAAAAAATGATACCTACTTATGATACAAGGGGGTACCTTCAAATTTCACAGTCTTTTTAAATAGTTCACCTGGGAAACTTTCATGTTGAATGGAAGAAAATGGTGAAAATATGTTTAGAAATACTTGTCAGCATTCACTCACCAGGAAGTCTTCAAAAAGTCCATTATTTAGAAGACATTGAGGAAACTAAAAGCAGAATTAATTAAAAATGGAAAACAGAAGACAGCAGAAGACATTGTAATGTTGAGGGAACCTGAGGTTGGTAACCAGGAAACTGGGACTTGAAAGAATCCATGTAAGAAATTTCAGGAGCACAAACTAAAGAGGTGAGAAGGGGGGGAAGAGAAGGGGAGAGAGACCTCGACTTGGAAGAGACATCTTCCTCTCCAGGTTCCATAGGAGCTTTGATGGATAAGCTGTGATCTATTAAAAGAAGAGCAACTGACTTCCACTGGGGAGGTCAGCATGGAAGGTGCACCTAGGTAATCACCGGTCTCCAAGCTCTGGAAGATGAGGATGACTGCGGGATGGTGGAGGCATGTCTGCAGCCAGATATGTAGGCGGATTACCTGTATAGAGATGATGTCTGAAACTGCCAGAATTTAACCAGGCAAAATGCATATTTCAAAGTAAAATGTAGACATTACCACAGGTGCAGTTCTAAGGCTTGATATGCAGTGATCAGAAGTCCAAAGGAAGTGAAATCTCAAATAAGAAGGAAGTGACCTAGAGATCTTCCATGTTCAGAGCTGCTGAAAAGACCTTGGAGAAGGTGACAGAGAGAAAAGCTTTTTCATCTTGCTATTAGTCTGTAATTGAGAACTTCAATGAGCCAATCCAACTTTGAGAGTGAGATGATCTATGAACCCAATATGACACTTTTGTGCTCCATCGCCTCCCTATAGTGATCCCAACGACAGACATGTTGTTTTCAGATTTATCATGGGAAGTCCAGTTTTTAAATCACATTGGTTTATTTGTAGAAGGTAATTATTTTAAATATTCTAAAACATCCCGTAATTTGAATACCTAATTCAATTTAATGAACATTAGATAAGGAAATCTTATTCTCTGGTAATCATATCAAATAAGCAGAGCCTATTACTATTTCATTTATTAATTCCAATCAATTTCCTGCACACACTGCAAATATTCTGTTTGCTTCACAGTGATTCCCAGCAGTTCCTGTTACACAGGGAGTGTGCTCCTAAGAGCCAACAGACGGACAGGTCGGAATCCCCCTCCCCTTGGTTCATCCCCACAGCTCTTAAATTACCGCTCTATTGTCTGCCTGCGGAGAATGGGCTCAGAATATTTTGACTTTTTGAAGCTTTAAGAAACAAACAATACTAAGAGAAGGAGGCTGTGTGGCTTCCCAGCGGTGTTTGCTCATTTTTGTGGCTCCTACTTCTGTCCTTGCCCAGCGCTGTAGATAATTTTCTGAGCTGCAATCAGGGCAGAATTATTACTGGATTATTGTAGACATTTGTTTAGAAAATGAGGACTCTTAAATCTTTTTATTTTCTTCTCTTTCTGTTCAAAATAAAAAGAGCTTTGCTGTGCTTTAGCAGGTTATGTAAATAATCTGAGCTCACTGTTAAAAGAATTCAAACAGCACTTTAAAGTTTGGTGAGGATAAAACCTGTTGCAGAGTCCCAAATGATAACCATAGTTCACAGCTGCATTGCTTATGAACAAACTACTTCACCACATGTGCCTTTTTATCTTTACTAATGTACTTTTCCTTAAAAATCCATTTTCCTGTTTTTAGTACAAACACCTGCCAGCTTTCCTTTGGTCAATGTTTACATTTTTGTTTTTTCTGAATCCTTCTGTCAACATAACATTCCTGTCCTTACAGTCTCTTTTACA